TTTAAATGTATCTTACCACCTTACTTCTTAGGATCGGTGTGGTTTATGGGGATTTAGGGTCCGTTTGATTTGCAATATTGTTTGAGAGATTTAGATTTTATGGAGGGATATGAATTTGAAATCATTGGTGTGTGTGGTTTGTAGGATTTTGAATGAAATTGGATTCCATTATTAATAAAAAAAAATTAAATTAATTTTTTTATTAATCGATTATTACAAAACAAACGTTTTAAACATTTTTTTAAAACCTTATTGCATACAATCCTACGAAATCCCGAGCACCCACTATAGATTTCAAAATCCGATGTTTATAGGATTTCAATTAAATCTTACGATTTCAAATATGGACAATCCAACAAACCAAATATGAGATTGAAATGGATTCGAAATCCATTTCATTCCCGCAAACCAAACGTTCTGTTGGTTTAAAAGAAAATACGAAATTGAAATCCCACAAACATTGAAATTATAATTCCCATGAGAGAGTTGGACTTTCGTGGTATTTCATAACATTTGTTTGTATTAATGTTTTAAAGTACGTTAAAAACATTTGTTTTGTAATAATCAATAAATAAAAAGTAATTTAAATATTTTTATAATTATTTATACTTTGTTTTTATAAATTATCTATAAATAGTAAAAAATCAATTCCTACAAACCAAACACACCACCCCAAAGATTTCAAATATTTCACTAAATCCAAATCTTTCGAAAAGAAAACATTCTGTCAAACCAAATAAGCCGTTACTAAAATCCCTCCATTTTGCTATTTGGTTAGAAGAACAACGATGGAACCCCTATCAATCGTTGGATATTAAAAAGAGAGTCCAACCTCTTTTTAGTCGGTTTAGATTTGACGAAATGCAGCCTCCTTTGTGACCGTCGATTTAGAATTGCCAAAAATATAACCATCCCTATTATTTACAACCGTTGATTGAAATAAATGGATGGTTCAAACAAGTTATGTTGTTCTTCTTCTTATTTTAGGGTTCTCTTTTGAACTATTACCCCTGTAGACTCGTACCGATGGCTTTAGTCGTCAAAAAGTAACAGGATGTCCTAGGTTCAAATCCAAGGAGGAATAAAAATCCTCTTGTGGCCACGAAGGTTCAAATGCGGTGACTCCGGGCTATCTGCAAAGCAGATGGTCTACCTGGGATTAGTCGGCTCGCATAGCGGGTTGGATATCCAGGTTAATAAAAAAAAACCAGATATCACATCTATAAAAAGACAATAATCAACCGGAAAAAAACCCGATTCCCGAGCTCATTTAAACCAATAAAATATCATGGGTCTAGTAGTAGCAAGTAGTAAGTAGAGTTTCATTTTTAAGTAGCTTTCAATAGCTAAGGCCTAAGAGACATATAAAAAAGACCAAAAAGAAAGATTTAAACTGAAATTAGACACACAAAAAAGAACAAGAAGAAAGGTTAGTCTCAAGTTAGACACATGAAAAAGACCAAACAGAAAGGTAAAGCAAAGAATGATCGAGTAGCAAAATTTTGATGGCAATCAAGAAACAGAATCCTGTGGTGATGAAAGAAAACAACTACTTGATCCACATCGCATTTTCGGTTAACGCTCGTTTGCATGACGAGAAACCCGCTTTACAACAGTTAACGAAGTCTATGATTCCTCCGTTTCATTAGGAAAGTCAAACGTCAGATTCTTCAAAATTGAAGACAAACTGAAAGATTATGGAAAAAGAGTATGACCCCACCTTCTGGAGCGTCCATACTGAATCGGTCCCACGGCCATCATGAGGTAGGTAAATCGTATGTCCAAGGGACAGGTGGGTGTAATACTATAATTGCAGGTGTGCATCGGGCAGGTCGGATGGACAAACCAAAAATCCGATCGGATTTCCCCACCAATGAATTTTGGGTTTAGGATTTCGTATTGCTTCGGGTTTGGGTTGATCGGGTTTTGGGTATAGCTATATGAACTATGTGTGTGTGTTTGTGTGTATATACATTCATTGAATGGGAGGATTGATGAAATCGATAGTAGGTTTAGTATTTCGAAAAGAGTACGACTGACTAGGATCTAAGATTTCCGATAGATAATTATATTTATACATGTATACATTTTGGGTTTCCCAACGGGTTAGATGGCCAAAAATCAAACCCAACCCAAATCCAAATATCCCCCAAAAGTTGGGTTTCGAATTTTTGGACTTCGGTGTATGCGGGTTTTGCACAAACACCTCAGCTTATGTTCAGGTTTTCGGACTATACAGGTTTTGCACACCCCTAACTGCAATAGAATGTAAATAATTGTCTTTAGCATTAGGGATTAAACCAAATTTAATATATAAAATAAAGACACTAGACCTAACACGAGATCCCTACGGAGGCATTTGGTAAACCGGATAAGACATAACAGAACATGGATAATTGTTCCATATTTGACATGACTTTTACGTGGGGCAGAGTGGAACAAACGTATTCCACCCCACCCCACCCCATCCCATCCCATCCCATCCCATCCCATCCCATGCAACAAGATGGAACGAGCCTATATTTTACCATTATACCCCCATAAAACCACAATGATATGTACCCTTTATCAACCTTCCCATATCTAAAGTGACAATCTATTCTCAGAAAAAACAAACTTATATGAGGGAAGTACAAGATCAAAACCATAATCTATTCTAAGAAGAACAAGATCAAAACCTAACTTATAACCACCAACTAGCACAGTGTGTTTCCGTGAGAATAAAAGTTATGATGAGAAGAGTAAGAAGAGATTTTCACCCTTGGATCAATCCTAATTAAAGATCAACACAAATTCGGTACACCGAGATGCACCGGATCAATTCCCGTGATAAGAGCAATTCATGGGATGGGAGTGGGATTAAAAGTGATCAAGGGTCTAGATCTTTTCTTGTACTTCTCACTTTAACTCTAATTCTCACACGATCTTTTGTCCCAACCAGCATCCACCAAAAAAGTCCAAGCAAAATTGTTAAAGGCTCAACGCGCGCTTAGGCGCAAAGAGGTCCCGCGGCCTAGGCATGAGGTGCAGGCATCAGGAATGCGAGGCACATCTTATCAAAATACACTCACACACACAGTTACACATAACAAGTCTCCAACTCAGCAACCAACAGTACTTTGATAGAGGAAGAAGGATTTAAAGCGTGAGTCGTGAAAGAGAAGTTTTAAAGGTATGGGTATTTATAGAGAAGGAGGCTTTGAAGTTCTAAGGACTTGGTCTTAATATTAGAGTTTGACTTATGTCATCTATTTAATAACACGTTTTTTAAGAAATCTAGGAGATGAGAAGATGAGAAAACTTACTTAATCTTAGGGTTTAACTAGGTATTTAATAACTCTTTATGAGGCGCACCTAGGCCCACAAGACGCCTCAGCTAAGGCGCGGTGCCTTAGTGAGGCTTGTGAATACGCTGAGCCTCGACTTGAAAAAAGCCGAAGATCTCGAGCCTTATGAGCTTCAGAGCCTAGGGGTGGCCTCAGGCGCGCTTTTAACAACTATGAGTCCAAGAACCAACCAAAATTTTGAGCCTGACAGCTTCATTTCTAGATCCACCTCCGTTTTACAACCCTTATGCCTCCATTATGCCATCTGTACAGCCACCTACTATTCTTACACCATCTGCTCAGATCCTCCTCAGCCAAATGAATCCAACCAACCAGCTTCTGTATTGTAAACTAAACCCCAAAACCTGCTGAAAGCCATACAGACACACAGCAACAATCTGGTCCAAAATCATGAACAGGAGCATACCCCCACTGCAGAAAAAAACCAGACCCCACAGATCCAGCGATAAGCACATGAGCAGATCAGTAACAGCAATGTAAAACAGCAGCCAACAGAGCAGAAAGGCCAATAAGGGTAAGGGACTGTTTATTAGCAGCTTAATGAGCTTAATGAGCTTAATGAGACTCACAGCTTATTCGGTCAGCTATACATGACTGTTTGGTAGTGGCTTAATGATATAGAAAGTGACTTATTCAGTAAGCTTCTAAGGGGAGCTTTATACAGAAAGCCGAGTTTTTTCTAAACTTGCCCCTCCCATTAAAAAACACGTTAATTCTATTTAGGAAAAAACCTTCCCAAACAAAAAATTTCCCAATCTATACAGACAGATTAATCCACCCAGACAACTTTATCCATATCATCATTCTTATCAATAACAAACATGCATTTTTGAACAAATCAATCAACATAACCAAACGACCCCAGTATATCCCGCCTGAGGTGGGGTCTATGGAGGATAAGGTGTATGTAGACCTAACTCCTAAGTCCCTAACCTTTACCCCAAAGAGTAGAGTGGATGTTTCCATGAAGAAATGCCCGCAAGACATCAGCATAGTGCTATACGAATGCCCACAAGTTAACATTGTACATACTAGACTTCATTGATGTTGACTTGCACCAACGAGACCAAACATCAAGAGAAGACCTTTTGATAGCAAGACGACTTCAATTATATTCATAAACTATATGTATACCTAAAGGGTATCTATAGAGAGGTTGATATGGAAGGGAGACTGAGCTTTTACCATGTTTTGAGGCCAATGTTAAGGCAGCAATTTTTCAGCCAGTTTCTGGATTGTCTTGAAAAATCTCGAGTTTTTGCATGCCACTTATGAAGATGACCATCTAAACAATGAAAAAGAAATCATTAGTTTGTAAAGAAAGAGCAAGGAAAATTGTCACATGAAAACTCACCAGCTGGAGCAGAGTAATAGACCGACCTTTACTAACAATTGAAGTTCTTCCAAAAGCTCTATAAAAAAAGAAGTATATCCAACACTAGCTATTCACATCATCAAAGGGAAATGAAACATATGTAAGCAACCAAATGTAAAAACCACAAGGGTTGTGGCATAATGGTTGACGTCCTGGGAGATGTGGTGGTATATCTCATCTGCCCAGGGTTCGATACCAGTCGTACACAACAATTATGGCCACTGAGTTTATCAGGACTGATATCTAGCAGTCACAATTTGCCAGGATTAGACACCCTTACAAGAAAACAAACCCTCATCCTGCTATTACGATAAACCAAAAAATATGTCAAATTACATACAACTTATCCAACATCAATGAAATGACATCAACATGCAAGTTCTACAAGTGCCTGTATCGTTTTTGTCACTTGGATAAATTAAACAAGTTCTATTCCACTATTTCAGAATATAAACAGTCGGCTACTAATCACGATTCAATGAAGCAAGTCCTGTTCAGCTTCCAGTTGCATACCATTCCCACCTCGTTCTCAAATTTCACATAACCAAGTCATGCTAGAATCATAAGCGTGCAAGAAGCTTCTTGCATCCAAAAACACCGGAAAATATTGATAGAAAAGCTACTATAGCACCCTGTCTAGAAAGCCAAAATTCAGTCCATGTCAAGGGTTTGGTGATCTGATCTATTATCTTCCTGAAACTTTCATTTAAGTCCTCTAACGATCCGTTGTTATCAATCACTATGTCTGCTTTAGTCCTTTTTACGTCAAGAGGCATCTGGGCATTTATCCTGTTTTGAGCATCTTGTGCAGAAGTTCTGTCTCTAGCCATGAGACGTTGGAGCTGTGTTTCAGGATCAACCCACACAACAATAATTGGTTTCGTCCACCGATCTATCTTGGCCTCAAACAGTAAAGGGACGTCAAGAATGATGATCTTACAACCCTTCATCCACAGCTTAAAGACTTCCCACAAAATACCATACGAAATGTAAGGGGCAAGAATCCTACAAACAAATTTAGAGAAATTCAGGATTTTATAGTAATAAACTCACAACAACAAAAAATATCCAATCGCTCCAGTAACAAGGCTGGCATACATATTTTGATAAGAGTGGATTCAAATAGCCACATAAAAACAAATTTCATGATGACTTTGTATGAAAAACAATCTATTGGCTATGTTACATAAAGACAATTTGTTCCATCACAGTCTGGGTATATGAAAGGCATGCCATTAGGCAGGATTATTGAAAACCTTCTTACCACAATGAGGATGTATTAGGAACCAGTTACCAAATGCTTACTGGCAAGAATCACCACTCTCACCTACCTTATGGGGTAACATTCCCGGCCATCAAAATGGATTGATGTTAAGCGTTTATAACCCTGAAAGCACTTACCGGGTAAGAGTCATCACCCTCACTTACCGCGTAAGACTCTTGATCCTTGTCTTCCCTCTTACCGGGTAAGATTCTCGGTCCATTTTCTGTTCACCCAATAAGGTAATTGAATTGGTAAGTCTTACCAAGGTAAGGGGTTGTTTTACATAATTGAACTAGTAAGTCTTACCAAGGTAAGTGTTTAGTAAACAACCCCTTAGACTATATACTACACCATTTAGGCCAATGCAACAATAAATTGCATATCCTCCTAGATTAAGCTATAGAACAGAGAATGTAGCACTATCCTAGAACATTTACCACGGTAACAAATGTCTAATTTGCTCCCTTATGCACCCACAGCAAGGTTGACAAACTTAGCAATGTGGCTACAACCGCATTTTCCCAATTTTATATGCTTATGTTATTTAAAGAAACTTGAAAGATCTCTTTCATGCAAAGTTTCTCACATGGAATAAAAAAAACATAGTATTCATAGTTTATATTCATAAAGATGTAATGCTCCACCACTTTAGTATGTAATGCCTTGCAAAAACTTTCAATAAGCATACACTATTTCAAAGATGATAATACATTCATTTGGTGAAGCATTCAGCTTTTTTGCATAAACTAGTGAATTAAGGGATAAGATGACTATATGTTCATAGAAAGTTGGTTGTCATTAGTGTACCTATTAAGAAGCTGGCGTTTTGAAGGATCAGTAAATACAATCTGGCCCAATTTCGGCCGATCAACTTCCCCATTTTCCTGCAATATGTCCTCTCCGAAAGCTGCTACAACCTTCCTCCAACCACCACTGCCTTTCTTCAATACATCCTGTGATGTGAACCAACAGAGACAACAAAAAGAATTAACGTCAAAGGGAAGACTAATAAGTCTTGAAACAACTGAGCTTTTCTATCATCAATTCCCCTGAAATTAAATGCTTATACAACAAACAGTTTACGATTACTGGGAAACTTCACTAAAAAAAAGCATTCCAGCAAGTAAATTGGGACAAATAATGATATTATTAGACAAAAGTTCATATTTTTATAATAACATAAAAAAGACATAGGTAGTGCAAAGAAAACAATATCCTCAAGTTATCACTCACAAAGACATATCTTCAATTTCTACTGGGTATCACTGCCTAAAGCTCTCACATTTGCAAGTTCATTGGTCAAGTGAAAAAAGTCATGCCTTTGATTATGTTTCATTTCTACTTGGTGCTTGCATAGTTGCATATGCAACATCAATCTAATCACTATCCTTGAGGATTACACCATGATTAGCCAATAATATCTTCATTAAGTGATCTTCCAGGCTTCATATATTGCTTGATTGTAACTTGTTCTAATTATCAACAAAATTCTCTTTTATTGAGCAAATCCTCAATCTTCCCAAGTTTCAAACAGCATCTCTAACTGTAGAACAGGGAGTTTTTTTCAGACACATCGTTAGGTTTTACCACCACTGAGGATACTAAAAAATTCTACAAACATAGTGCATTTGATTGTTGGTTTCTATAACATAGATATCTAACTATTAACACAATTGAAATCAGTGTTACGTGTGTGTGTGTGTGATCACGCAATGCTCAAAATCAAATATTTCAAGCCAGTCCAAGTGATTCGTACTTTCAATTTCATTGTTCAATTGAGTTATCTTCATATCAAAACCGATCTAAATATATCCTCAAAACTAGGGTTTTGCTTTAATTTTTGCACATATGAAATTGAACTCGAGAAATAAAATAACAAAACGAGATGGATCTTACGCGGGCGACAACATCAGCATCGACCACCGGAAATCCATTGCCTTTGAAGAGATTGGAAACGGTACTCTTCCCCGTCGCAATCCCTCCGGTCAATCCTATTATCCTCATGCTTTCTTCGAAACTCTCCTACATCAAACTTTTGCAATTCCAAAGATGCGATTAGTCAGAGCAAGAAATCATCAAAGAAGCTGCTAGATCGACCAGAACGTTTATTAGGGTTTTGATAGACAATGACTTCCAAAGACGCGCATCTAGTGTAGTGGTATCATAGTACCCTCCCACGGTACTGACCGGGGTTCGATTCCCCGGATGCGCAGTTTTTTTTAAGAGATTAGGGTTAAAGATCGCCGGAATAAAAAGATGGAAGTCGATTAAGTCTGCCGATTTGTCAAATCTTGTAGAACGTCCGAATAAAATGGTTGGGCTTTGTTTACTTATTAATAATTCATCTCATCCTCTAAATTGTTAAAAGATGAATCTTGTTGATAAAAAAAATTATCAATAGTTTTAAAATATTTTGAATAATTTTGTATCATGAGCCCTTATTTAGCGTCATAATTTCATTGTAAATAATTTACCAAACAAATATATTTTATTTGATATTATATCATGAGAGACGCTTAATCATTTTTTACCAAACCATTCAACAACAGTTAAACAGACTTTAAAAGAGATATATTTTTTGTTTGTGTTTTAACCAATGAAAACCGATTTTATGATTTGGTTCATGTAGTTTTTGTGATTGCGTAAATGGCAAAAAAAGATCAATAAAAAAGAAAATATCATTTCTTTAATGAGAATTTTTTAACGATTGTTTAAATAAAGGGACCAAATCTAAATGTTTTTGTAAACCACGATGGTAATCTCCTAATTTTAAAACTATTGTTGGACCGGTAACTGCACTAGGGAGCCGCCCACGTGATATTGTCCGCTCTGGGTTGGTCAACACAACCCCTCACGGCTTTAAAACGCGTCACTGGTAGGAGTAAGACTCCCACTTCCTTATAAGGAAGCCGAATCTCCCTAGCCTCACCGATGTGGGATGCTCCTGCATTGCTACAGGAGMGTTGGGTTTAAGATTCGCGGATTTGACCGGATCTAGGGAACGCTTAGGTTTTTCGGACCCAACAACTATAAAACTAAAAATGTTATTTCCCTTTCTCTTGTTTTGTCATTCTTGGAGATTTTCATGTAAATAAGGGTATTTTGGTCTTTTTATTATCGACCGAGTGTCGAAGATTGTTGGGTTATTGAAAATAATGCTTTTGCTTAGGTCAATGGTAAATGCACCAAAATGAAGCTTGTGTTCTACTCTTATAAAATATTTGAGTAGTTACATATATTTTTTTAATATATCATTTTACTAATATAATTTTGTGTGTTTGTCTTTACAGAAAATTAATATTTATTTTTGAATATTTTTAATTATTTATGTTTGATGCTCCCCCTAATTCTATATCTTGGTTCTGCCCATGCAGCGCAGGTGACCATGGTTAATGTTTTAGCCACATGTGCTAGTTATGTCGCCATCGATACGGGTGTTTGAATACACGGGTTTACAAATATGAACTATTGGGAACTCGATGTAATCTTGGGCACTTCATTTATCAACATGTATGTGAAATGCGGTAGGATTCAAGATTCGTTATTTTTGTTTCTTACCATGAAAGATAAGAACGTCTTCACGTGGAATTCCATCATCAAGGGTTTGGCCATGGATAAAAACGTCGAAAAAGCTTTATGGTGGTTTTCAAGAATGAAGCATGAAAAGGGTATCAAGCCCGATGAAGTAACTTTGATCGTGGTATTAAGTGCTTGTGCTTATTCGGGATTAGTACAAAAGGGCATACAAATCTTTTATTTTTAATGAATAAGGAATACAGGTTTCTACCAAATACCAAACATTACGCTTGTTTGGTAGATCTTTTAGCGCGTTCGGGTCGTTTAAAAGAGGCCATGGAAGTCATAAAGGAGATGCCTTTTTGAGCTTAGTAAAAGTGTATGGGGAGCTCTTTTGGTTGGTTGTAGAGCTCATGGGGACTAGAAATGGGTGAGTTTGCAGCTTGGAATCTTATAAAATTGACACCAAATAAAAGTAGTTGGTATTATATGTTGTGTAGTTTGTATACTGATATAGGGAAATGGAGTGAACTCGAAAAAGTTTGGGTTCTAATGAAGGTGAAGGGGTTTGAGAACAATTTTGAAGTCGAGCCATTGGAACCCAACTACGTGATAAGCTATTAGTCGGTTCTTCTGTGTGAAAATATGTGAAACCCGTGACAGACCCACATGGAATGATACGGTGGCATGGGATCCTCTTCATGGTTCCGTCATAGGGGGGAAGAATTACGTTTATGGAGGGGGTCATCGTATTGTTTTGTTGGGTCACGAGTGCCACCATATGGTTTTTGAAACTGAAATGACAACACAAAACTTCCATGGCTGAGATGATAAATGATTATGTCTTTGTACAAAAGGCCCTGATTTAAGTCCCATTCTTGCCAAATTTTGGTATCTTTTATACCTCTTGTGTTGTTAAAAATATGTGTAAACATGACTCAAACATAAGTCTCTTCTATGTAATGGTAAAGAACCAACTAACAGATCTATATTAATATTGTGAAAAAAATAGACATTTTTTATAGTCAAATTGTATCACCACTTGAAGAAAAAAAATTGGGTCCGCCCTCGGTCTGGGTCACCGCTTTGTTCCTCTATCAATTTTAAAATCGTGAGAGGTGCCACTGCGTTTATTTTGTTGGGTGCAACCATATATTTCTTGAAACTCTAATAACATCGTAAGTTTATATCTGATAGAGTTGGTTTGCGTAGGCTTCTTCTCCGTTCAAGGTGTGGATTCGAATCTCATTCGTATCGTTCTCTTAGTTTTTATCGTTTAATTTCACGTTAGTATGTTTTTGAAAAAAAATAGAATAAAAAGGCTTGAACACAATATTTCACGTATACAAACTAATCAAATATTTCAAATATAAAATAAGACAATATCGTTCTCTTAGTTTTTATCGTTTAATTTCACGTTAATACTTCTGAAGCTGATTTAATCAGACGTTTGGGTATTATAAGCGTTTGTTTTATTTTTAAAATAAGAGTTCAAAAGCTATAAATGTCTTCTGAAATTTTATGTGGTAATATATCTCTTAATACCTCTTAATCCTAATCTGAATGGTTCATATTATGGGGAAGGAAAGAGAATTGTTAGCAAAAAACAATTTATCTTTTATACTTTTGTAAAAAGGTTTTTATCTATTATATTTTTGCACTAGTTTGATCGATTCAGATTTTAAAAACTTTAGACGTAAAAACAAACAATTTTACTGATTCAGATTTTAGACTTCAATACCACTCCATATAAATCAGAAATGAATTAGACTTCAATACCTCTTAAAAAATAAATGACCACCTAAATGTAATTCTTTTTTAATTTTGAATTTCATTCTTGGTTTTGGAAAGAAACTTTAGAGGAGATAAAAAGAGAGTTTTGTGAATATAAAAATAGACACATTCTTTTATTCTACTAATCTCCTTCTGTACATATCTATATATAATTCACCTTTTTACATTTTTAATCAATTAACCTGATAGGGTTCAAACAGTAATATTCACTCCCATTTGAGAACATTTTATGGAATTGTTACAAACCATATGAATTTTATATTAAGGGTTTGTTTGTTAAGTTGGTGTTTGTTTTTTAAAAGGTGTTAAAATCTGAAGTCTTATTTCACTTCTGATTAATAAGAAGTGATGCTGAGGTCTGAAATCTGAATCAATAAGATTGTTTGTCTTTGTTAACTGATAAATGTCTGAATTTGTTTAAATTGTTTATTTTATCTACTAGAAAATTATAGTATTAAATTTATAGATAAATTTATATAATCTCACATATTTATTCATCATCATTATGAAATTTACGTCTAGATTATATAATTAGCATTCATTTAAACGAAAATGTATCATTAACGTTATTTAATACATTTAAATCCTATTAAAATACATCAATTGAGACAGGTGAAGATCGATTTGGTAAGGATCGATTGAGAGAAATGATCGATTAAGTTCAATCTACTGAAAAACGCCGTTGCTAAGAATTTGAAGGACAATAAGAGGCAAAAAAGATATTAGTTTACCTCCTATCAGATAAGAGGTGAACAAGACATAAGCGCCGAAAAAACAAACAGTCTAAATGATAATTCCTCTTAATTAATCAGACATAAGAGGCTAATAATATATTTTTCTACAAAAACAAACAAGGCCCATGGAGATTCTTATCCCATTAATAAGACAACTTTTCTTAGTGAATAAACATGATAAGAGTTGAAAATTTTACAAGTAAGAATGATGATTGGGATGAATATTTTTATCTCGTAAATGAGTGTGACGACTTACCCGGTAAACGCATACTAGGTAAATTGTTTCATATGAAACTATTTTGATGAACTACAACCTTACCCGAAAAATATGTTGACTATTAACAGTAAGCGATTATACACCGAATAAGCATTTGTGTATACGACCCATCTAAGAAATAATCGAGATATTTGTTGAAAATGATAGATATGACTTATTATGATCATTGTTTGAGATTATGAAACAATCGAGATATTTATAAAATCAAATATTTATTAGCTTAATAGAACAATTAAGCATAAACTAAATCAAGATAAACATAAATAGATTAATATTAAATGTATTACTTTTTAATACAATAAACCCAGTATAATGGAAATTATTGTTTCATGATTGCAATATTACTTGATTATAATATTTTTTTCTAAACTAACATATAAATTATATGTCAAAGCATCATGGATTTACCTAAATCTTATGTCATGTTATATTAGTTTTCAATTAACATTAACTTTCTATAAAGTAGGTATATCTTTGTTGTAACCCTCTTTCATGGTTCAACTAACAATTTGAAAAATAACAAAAGAAAAGCTATATAGGTTTTTTTTTTTAATTAAGAGCTATCTCCAACAAATTTTTTATTAATAAAATAAAAATTTGAGAGAAAAGTATATTTATTAATATAATATTTTAATAATATAATTAATGATGTAATCTATAAAATGGAGAATTTTATTAAAGTTGAATACAACTTTTTTAGAGATTTTAAATTTTGATATCCATTTTAGAAAGAAAAAAAATTAGAGAATGGAGATGCTTTTAAGTGTTTTACGTTACATAATAAAAAATTGTTGGTAAACGTCTTTTACCTGCTAAACACTGACCAGTTAAAAGTCACCGCCCTCTGTTCTTTTAGGTAACCGAAGGTTGTTGGCTAGCTTTTGCATGAACAGACTAATCTTTAGCCGACCATGAATAGCCCAGAGTTATCGTAGATGAACATGAACCTCCATGGCCACAAGCTTTACAACGTCTGAATTCAAGCTCACACATTTACTTACCAAGTAAGATTCTTGGTCTTCTTACCATATAAAATTTCGAAATCCTTGTTAATTCTCATTTAGTGAGGCAAGCATAGGTGTTGACTCTTACCCGATAAGCACTTTCCTAATTTGCATTAGTAAACAACCCCTTATTATATATGTAATCAACTTTACAGTATAATTTGATAAATTGACATTTACATTGTAAAACCTATATGATCAACAAATTAAGATTAAAACACGTATACTTCTTCCGTTCCAAAATAAATGTCCACAATGTAAATAACATACAATTTAAGAAATAGATAATTATTACACTTCAATTAACTAAAATACACTTTTACTTTTAATAATATAGAGATAAATTTTCTTCTTTAATCTTGAAATTAGAACAATGAAAAATTTTAAATGTTAACATTTATAAAATAAAAATCAAACATTTGTTAAAATAAACTCCTTGATTCTTTGAAGTTTTCTAAAAACCACGTGCATTGCAATTAAATTGAAAAAAACACCAACAAAACATAGAGTACAACAACATGAAGCACAACGTACAACTCACAAAGCTATTTCTAATAAGCAGGAAGCTATTTTAATAAGCGGGTATACCAAATACCTTTAAACACGCCGGCCGTGACAATATATCCGCAATCCACGCGCTCGTATGTTCACGCGCCTCAAACACCTCTTTCGTCTGCGTATCCATCAAGAACTTGATCATCGGAATGTGGTTGAGATCCGCCAACGAAAAACTATCTCCGCCCAAATACTTGCTCTCCGACAGCCGTGATTCATACACATCAAGCAAGCGTTCAAGCCTCTTCTCTTCCTCCTTCACAATCGTCTGATTTCCTTTCTTTCCAAATAAGAATCGCTTCATACAAAGCTCCCAAGCTAACCCTACCGTCGCCGGATCAAATGTCTGAGACTCCACTTCCATCCACATCGTCTCAATCGCCTTCTTCTTCGGATCGTTGCTTACCAGATCCGTCCCCTTATTAACGTATGTCCGTACTATATACTTTATAATCGCCCTAGATTCTGCAACAATTCAATCACCAAATATATATCCAGCTTAATCACAACAAATCAATCACCAAATATATATCCAGCTTAATCACAACAATCAATCACCAAATATATATCCAGCTTAATCACAACAAATCATCCACCAAACATATAATCAGCTTAATCACAACAAATCAACCATCAAATGAATATCCAGCTTAATCACAATAAATTTTGAAATCAATACGCAAAGTAAGCATTTGTATCTGTAGTAATTGATCAATTGATTATTACCGAAGAGTTTGATGTCACCGTCTTCAAACGCTGGAATCTGACCGAACGGCTGCATACATATATATAGATATAAATTAGCTCGAAAACAAACATATAAACGCGGAATCTAATGATCTAAGTTATACATACACATATAGATGTAAATCAGCTCGAAAACAAACATATAAATGCAGAATGTGATATATATATATATATATACACACACACACACATAGATGTAAATCAGCTCGAAAACAAACATATAAATGAGGAATCTAATGACCTAAATTCTATATACACTTATAGATGTAAATCAGCTCGGAAACAAACATATAAATGCGGAATCTAACGATATAAGTTAGATATACGTACATTTCGTGAAAGCATATGAGGCATTTTGTGTTCTCCGGCGGCCAGATCGATGTTAATGAGCTCGAAGTCGAGATCCTTCTCGGTGAGGCAGAGAAGAACGCGGAGAGTTGCAGTGGAGAGCATGGAACCGTAGACTTTGATCGCCATGGATAATGACAGGTGTATGAATGGTAGAACTCAGTGAGTGAAGCTAAGATTTGAGAAGACGATGGAGGAAGATGAGGGAAGTTAATGGGTATAAATAACGTGGGGGAGCATTCATATCTCTGAATCTGATCAGAACTTTTTCAGATTTTGCAAACTATGTTTAAACATGCATGATGCACACCCACGATCTTAATTTTTTTCGGTTATAAATTTAATGTATAATCATTTAAATTTTAAGTTTATTAATAAATATCATAAGAGTACTCGTGCAATACATCGAGACTTATTTCGATTTCAATGATTCATTTTTATTGTTTATTTATTTCGATATAATATGGTTTTATATGGTTTTGAAAATTAATAGTGTTTATATTTTTGAATAAAATATAAATTAAAAAAATATCATAAATTTTTTAAAAATAATATATCATTATTAGTATTAAATTAACTATCTAAGAGGTCTTAATTTTTTTGTGTAATTTTGTTAATTCACAATTTTTTTATTTTAATTTAGGTTTACTAACGAAGTAATTTAATGTAGGTTTAATAATATAATCTTCTATAAAAATAATAACTAAGTTTTTGTTAGAACTCAATAATTATCTTAATCATGTTTTAGATTTTATATTTAAAACGAGAGTTTTATCTTGTATTTAATTATATTTATCTACAATTAGTTACACGAATTCAAACATAAAACTTTAATAAGTTATATTTACTCATAATTTACCTTTAATATTGAATTTTAAGTAATATGCATTAATAAACAATACTCCGTGAATAAATAATGATTTTTAAGAGTTCTTGTCAAATGTTTTATAAGTATATATTAATATAATTCGTTTACGAAACTCAACCAGTAGTATAAATGATTTAAACCAATTAATTGACATATTTATGAAAATGATAACGGTTCATTTATTATTATATAGATATTTATAGAAGATCATCAAGATTTATTTATTTAGATTAACATTTTATATTAGAAACAATTGGATATTCATTAGACTAAACGAACAGTTGAGATTGGTTTTTATAGTTTATACCAATGGTTGAGTTCGTAAATTAAACCACACCTATTATTATTTGAGTATAACTTTTTAAAATGTTTTGAACTCAATAAAATAACTAATAAATAAATTCAAATATAACATAATCAGTTAATCTTATAACTGATACAATACAAAATGGGTAATCAAATGAGAATCACAAAAATGTTGAGAACCATGTACATTAAGAGATCTTGTTTCACTTTGTAAAACAACAGATGATCACTGGTTCCTGTCATTCTGAATCTTTTATGGTTCTCATTTGATTATAACAATACAACATAATACTTCATTATTATTTTGACTAATTAAAATAAAATATGGTTTTGTTTTTAAATCTAAATTGTATTAAATTATAATGCAAATGTGTATTAAACAAAGAGGTAATTACAAACTTGGTCCCTGTTGTTTGCTGAAATTAACGAATAAGGTCACTGAAATGAATTTTTTAACAAATAACGTCATCTAATTTCATTTTTGCAACATATTAGGTCCCTTCTACCAAGTGTTGTTATGCTTGACCGTTAAGATACATCATGTGACCCTTTAAGCGATAGGGATATTTTGGTCTTTTTACACTTATTTTTTTTTTTATTATCTGGTCCATTGAAGGGGGAAAATAAAATCAAAAACCATAAGAAGTTGAAGTTGATCTTAGGTTTTTAAAAAAATGACGAATTTACCCTTTTTATTCAAACTTTAGGTCTTTTTAAATTGATTTAATTGTGAAATAAAATATTACTGACTATGGATTTTGTATCACAATTATTTTGAATAAACTTGCATTTTTTTTGTTTTAAAATAATATATTTCTCGCCATTATGAGTTCAGGGCTAGAAACCTCCTTCGACCCGCATTGAATGTCGGGTCATTCGTTGAAGATAAAAGTATATCGAACCTGTTCCCTTTTGTGTATGGCATCGCCACTCCCTTTGGTAGCATCCACTAATTCAGAATAAATTTTCGTCGTTTGTGGATCACTCGAATAAATGCAACAGTGTCTGAGCCAGCTGTCCTTAGTAGACTGGAAGCCAGATAAGGATGTCTGGTCTAGCTCTTGAAAGTGGAAAGCAGTGATTTTCTTGATTGTATTTAAATTGAATTTTTTTTTGTTTTGTTTATTACGTAATTGAAAAGCAAAGTAAGAGAGACTCAATCAGTTGTAATAATGAACCTATGAAGACGTTATCCATTAAAAAGAAATAAAGTGACCTATTAGTTAACTACAACAAACCACATGGACCAATAATGTATCTAAGGAGCCGTTTACCTAAAAGCTTACCCGGTAAGCGCTTACCATTATGAGTCAACACTGTAATTTGTTTTACCGGGTATGATTGTAGTATATCAAAATGGTATCATATGCAACAATTTACTCTGTAAGCGCTTACCCGGATAAGAGTCGTCACTCACACTTACCGAGTAAGACTCTTCATCTTTATCATTGCACTTACCAGGTAAGATTTTTGACCCTTGTCATGTTCATCCGGTAGGGAAAATTATCCAGTTAGCACTTACCGGGTAAGTGTTTAGTAAACAACCCCTAACTCTGAGATAAATTATGTTAAAGGATGTGATTTTTGTATTTATAATGCTTAATTTGATACTAAAATCGATAGTATCCTCTTGCAATAACCAAATTTACACGATATATTCTACTATTACACTAATTTTTATTTTCTTTAAACATAAACTTTAAAACTTTTATTGTGAATTTATGATAATTTACAAATAACATTTTACTTAACGTTGAATCAACAGTGCATACCAACTACAAGGGTGGTGTCTAATTGGTTTGAGTTTGGGCTCCAAATGTCAAAAGTCACTAGAGGCCATAGACTTAAAATCAAGGAGGAATAAAAATCCGCTTATGGTCACGGAAGTTCAAAATGCAGTAACTTCAGGCTGTCCACAAAGCATGTAGTTGTCCTGGAATTAATCGGTTCGCAAAATAAGTTAGATATCCAGATTAATAAAAAAAAAACGATGGATACCTAATTTTGATAAATAAACTAAAAGTATAATATATTGCATGCCATGTATTTTAAGATATACCTTGTGGCCATGTTATAAACTAAATAAATCAGGGATCAACTAATTTTATTTAAATATAAATTTGATTCTTGTGGTTTATAGAGAGATCATCTTTAACCATTGTGGTGCCTGATTGGTTTGAGCTTGGTTCCAAAGATCAAAAGTATCAGGAGGTCTCAGGTTTAAATCGAAGGAGGAATAAAAATCCTCTTATGGCCACGGAGGTTCAAATGCGGTGACTCCGGGTTATCTGCAAAGCAGGTGGTCGTCCTGGGATTAGTCGGCTCGTATAGCGGGTTGGATATCTAAGTTAATCAAAAAAGAATAATCATCTTTTGTTCCTATATTATCAAAATTGCAATATGTCGATTGTGATTTGTAAAAACATTCGGATTTGGTCATTCTCTCTAATGACCGTTAAAAAATCCCGTTAAAGGAAGGGAGTTTTTGTCTTTTTCTCGATTTTTTGGTCTTTTAACCAATCAAAATCGTTTTTTGTGATATGGTCCCTGTGGTTTTTGATTGGGTAAACGACAACAAAATTCAATAAAAAAACAAAAAATACTCCTTATTTAACAGAACTTCTAAACGGTCATTAGGGGGAGTGACTAAATCTGAATATATTTGCAAACCGTTGTAAACATCTTGTAATTTAAAATATGTAGGAAAAAAACAACTTATTTTTAAACCACAAGGGTGATGTCTGATTAGTTTGAGTTCGGACTCCAAATGTCAAAAATGTGTGGAGGTTCTAGATTCAAATCCAAGTATGAATAAAAATCTTCTTGTGACCACGAAGATTCAAATGCCGTGACTTCGGGCTATCCACAAAACATGTGGTCGTCATGAAATTAATCGGCTCGTATAACGAATTGGATATTCGGGTTAATAAAAAATGTTAATTTTAACAAATGGAGACCTAATTTATAGTTTTCTCTGTAATGAAAAAAAAGAAAGAAAAGAACTAAATATTAAAACGTCATCGTAAAATGAAAGGCTTCTAGAAAAAGGGTTGGCAAAAATATTATAGCTTCTAGAAAAAAGGGAGTTGGCAATAAATATTGAAAGAGAGAGGGGAATGAGTGGTGGGTGTAGGTTTTTTTAAAACTCAAACACGTTATGTATGTAATTATTAGTTCGGTTGACATCAATTGAATGTAAGGGGAACCGAATCGATCCAATCATTTATTAGATATTGGAGTTTGTCAACCGATCTGATCGGCTTAATATTGGATAACTGATTCATTCCAATCCAATGATTGAATCAGTTCGGTTTCATTCATTTGATACTTTTATTTGATATCCATCGGATATCCAATAGATGATCCGATGAGATTGTATCCATTCAGTGTGTTAATTCAATCAAATTTTCTAACAATGATACCAATTAATTAATCACTTTAATACGTGTTAAAACCAACACAAGAGAAGTTAAAAATTCAAAGCCTCACATAAAACAAATTCTGGTTTAATCAATTTGAAAATAAATTAATTGGATAATGGTTGAATGGACAACTGAATGGTCATCAGATGATTAATTGGATGTTGATCGGTTCTGTTCGTTTTGGTCGATTCTCGACTGTCATCCGAGAACCGACCGATCCAAATTGGATTTTGAAATTTTCAATCCGATCTTATCCGATCCAAGTACAATTGGATATCTAATTATGGTCGGCTGGTTCTAATTGGATCAATCGATTTCACTTGGATTGGTTGATTTTCTACACACTCCTAATAATGATAATTATGTAATGTCAAAATAATTAACCAACAAAGATGAAAACATATGTATTTTTAAAGGTGAATTTAGAAAGAAAAGTAGGAGTAACAGAACAGGCATCAAGAGAAATCTATGAGAAGTAGAAAACATATCAAAACCCATCAGGAAACAAAAACAAAAAAGGATTAAGAAAACGAATCACAAGAAGCATATAAAACTAAAATGAGAATCAAAGCCGAAAGAAGAGAGACTCAGACAAGTACAACAAAAGGGGTGTAGAGCCAAAAAAAACCCGAGAAGTTG